AAGACCTGATGGGGAGAGAAGCCACTGCTGCCTTGGACAGGAACGAGGACAAAACATCCCAGCCATAAGCAAAGCATCTCCCTGCAGGGCCTGCCTCTGGCATGTTGTTGCTTAGATTCATAGAATCACACTATTATAGAGTTGGAAGGCACCCAACGGTCATCTAGTCCAGCCCCCTACAATGCAGGAATCAAAGCTCTGTGATCCCATGAGCCTTTGAATAGGTTTGGATGGTCCCCAAAGGTTGAGGGGGACTATTCTACTTCTGCAAGGGATCTTGGTGTCGCAGGAAACCCCCTCCCCAATCATTCAGTTTGTACAAACTTCACACACACTCACACTCACACACTACATACGCTGCGCTTCTGTTATAAATTCATAGAAAATCAACCATACATCGGATTTGCACTGTTCCACTTTTATTTTACTCCATGATGGAAGGACTACAAAATGGGGAAGGTTTGATACAGGGCAGCCATAATCCCTTCACCATCCCAGCACATCCACAGGAGCCCTGCCCAGTTGCTATGCCAACCCTGATGGTCCTAGACAGAAGACCATCAAGATCACAAAGAACTTGCATATGGGAGTGGATTCAGCACGGACTGGAACAAAGGACAATGATCAGCTCTTCCCTCTGGGGGCAGGAAACTGCAAACTCCCCTCTGTCACCTGGAAAGTACTCATGGGGAGGGGGAAAGGGGGAACCAGCCAGGTGACAGGACACTCAGGTTACCACCACCACCACCACCACTCCTCCCTCAACCCCTCCTTTCTGTGATGTATGTATGATGTTTCTGGGGGTGGTCTTGATCTACAGGGTGGCAATTTCAAAAGTCTTTATAAGGCCTTGCACACCATTTTTCTGGGTCCTTCCTCTCTCCTGCAAGTGAGGGGAGCACCCTGTTGCAACAGATTAATAAAGGCCAAGCCTACAGGCTGCTGTTTTGCTCCAAGTTATCCTGGTTGGTATCTTTGCTTTTGTCCAAGGGAGCCCTCGGATTTTTCCGTTAACATTGGGAGGCCAAGTGTCATTTGACAGAGCCTTCTGCATGAAATCTCGCACTGCAGGTCATTGCTTTTGCCCCTTTCTGTTATTTAAAAAGCTTCAGGGAGAATTTGGGAGGGTTTGGGGCATGATAAAGGTAAACGGGTAATAAGCAAGTAGCTCTTTAGACCCATTTAGAGAATCAACTCTTGGTGCCCACCAGTACATCCCTTCCACTTTACAACTGCATGGAAACTGGTGCGTGTGTCCTCTGAAGTGAGTCCCATTGAGCTCAGCTGAGCTTATTCCACGCTTTTCCTAATTCCCCTTCAATTCCCTACAAATGTTCTGCTGAGCAGGACCATCCCAATTTGCCTTGAATTTAGTCTTTGGTGAAATACACAGGCAATTCCCAGCTTTGTAGGTCAAGGCCAGAATTTCGCTTTGAGCCCAGAGACAATCACAGAAGGACGCTTCCAATGATGCCATGGGCTTCCAGCCTCAACACAAAGGGAGCGACATTCCACACTAGCAGAAGCTTCTGGACAACCTTTTGATGGCTACTGGCCAGGATGGCTCTGCTCCGCCTCCACAGTTGGAGGCAGCAGTGCTTCTGAACACCATGTTTTCATGTTCTTGTGATATTCGTATGACGCTGGCTTATCCTAAGACTTTTGGATCATCTAGCCCAGTACGATCTCCACTGGCTGGCAGCAGCCCTCCGGGATTTCAGAAAGGGAATCCTCTCCCCATCCTTATCTGGAAGATCCCATTGGGGGTTGAACCTGAGTCCTTCTGCATGACATTTGGTGCCTATCTCCTGCCACAACTTCTCAGAATAATGGTGACCTAGGGTGGTGATGTGATGTTCTCGCGTTCAAGATGCTTAGTTCCTTAGGTTCTCCAACATGGGGAGGTCAGGGAAAGGGAACCTTTGGTCCTCCACATACTGTTGGACTTCCACCAGCCCTGGAGAGCATGACCGGTGGTTGGAGATGACAGGAGCCGTAAGGCAAGTCATCTCAATGCCCACATCTTCCCCTGGAAAGGCCACGCCAAGTGTTCTGCAGCCATCCAGCCTCAGGGCTGGGAAGGAATGAGTGATAGCCTTTAAATATTCAAATATCTCCCCACCCCCGCCCTTGGGTAATGCAGATCATACAACTGTGCAATAAATTGTGGGATTCTAAATCAAATTTGAAGCAATGGTTTGGTTCCATATCTGGAGGAACTTGGGCCATTTGGTTTCCATTAGGCTGCATATGAAAGCTCTCTCTGTGCAAGTGAGTGACTCAGAGAGGGAGAGAGAAAGAGGGGGATTCTTGCTCTCTGCCTTTTTCTTTCTGGATGGACTCACCGTACATCTCTGGGCTTTTCGGAGTTTCCTCTGCTAATTGGTAGCAGAGCCTCAGCTTAGACACAGGGAGGAAGATCCCCCTGGCCCTGACTCCTCGCAGGAAGGGCAGTCTGGGGGGGCCTTGCCAAGCAAACGGCAAGGCGAGGAGAACAATCCTGGTATTCATAGCTTCCTGGAAATGCAGGCAGCTCAAGGGCCATGGTGAGGATTGCAGTTGCACTTTTTGGAAAGCAAACCTACCCCCCCCCTTCCCAAGTCTTCCTCATTCCCCCAACCCATCATGTGAACACAATTTCACATTGGGTTTCCTAACATGACAAGGCCCCTTGGTCTTTGCCATGAGCTCCTCTTCCCTTGGGACTGCCTCACCTGATGGCCAAGGCTGAGGTCCCAGCCCCATCACAGAATCAAAGAATTGCAGAGTTGTATGGGTCCCACAAGGACCATATAGTCCAACCCCCTGCAAGACAGAGGTCACGACTAAAGAATCCCTGACAGATGAGCACTCAACCTCTGCTTAGAAAGTTCCAAGGAAGGAACTGGAAGGAACTATGCGGAACTGGCTAAATTGACACACAAATTGCGTGAGAAGGACAACTGTGACTATAAAGAAGAATGGGAACTCTTTACAATATACTTAAAGAAACAACAAAAGGATCTGGACTCTTTGGCAGGTTTTGAATAAACATACACAAATTTATTTGTTAATATAATAGATGGATAACTCAGAGATTTTTACATTTTTATAACATGCAGAGAATATTATGTGTTAATAAATCAGAAAGAGAAACTGAGGGAGTCGTAGGGGGGAGGGAGGGGTATGAGGGGAGATGGGAGGGGGAAAATACAATTGTTGGAATAATTTGATTATGTGAAAATAGTCAATAAAAAAACTTTTTTTTTTTTTAAAAAAGAAACTTCCAAGGAAGTAAATGTTATTTATATCCCACCCTCCCCGGCCAGAACCGGGCTCAGAGCGGTTAACATCAAAATATATAATACATTAAGACATAAAATTCAGGAATCAACTCTTTGGAGCATTGAGGTCCAGCTCCAAGGGTCTTCTGGCGGTTCCCTCACTGTGAGAAGTGAGGCTACAGGGAATAGGGCCTTATCGGTGGTGGCACCTGCCCTGTGGAACTTTCCTCCCATCAGACGTCAAGGAAATAAACAACTATCTGACTTTTAAAAGACACCAGAAGGCGGCCCTGTTTAGGGAAGTTTTTAATGTTTCATGCTGTATTGTGTTTTTAATATTCGGTCGGGAGCCCCCAGAGTGGCTGGGGAGAGCCAGTCAGGTGGGTGGGGTATGAATAATAAATTATTATTATTATTAGAATCGCTGACTGATGTGACGCACAGTGTGTGGACTCTGGGGAAAAGGGAAAATAGAGATTTGGCTTTTCATGGCGACACACTTATGTGTTGCAATGACCCCATCCAGGGATACGGACTTCCACCCCAAGGCCTGGAGATCTGGAAGAGCCCTGCCCTTGTCACCAACCAAGAGACCCCGTTTCTTTTGCATCCAAAGTGGAATTCTTCTCCTGCTTCCATGACTTAAGAGCCGCCTGTCTCCGCAGAGTTGCTGCTGGTGCTGACCTCTTGTAACTCCTAACATGCTCGCAGGAACATCCGCCGCTTTTAAGAAGCCAACCGTAATGTCTGCAAAACCTTAAACAAACAGGCTGCGTATTTACACGAGAAGACGTAGTAATTGTTTCTTTTAAAACGATTATTATTAGAAGCAGGTTCACGAATGAGGCGGGGGGGCAGGCAGTGGGGATGAAACGAGAGACACCCCCAGCTTCACCCAGGCTGTTTTTGATCACCGTCTGGTACTTTGCGCAACACGTGGCAAAAATTTCGCTCTCTCGCTCCCCCTTATAAATCTAATTCTCAGTTTAAGGTGACAGTAATAATATGTTAAATACCAACAGATTATTAGAAACACATTCATTGAAAATTACCCATGTAATAGATGGTTATCTGTGACATCACGGGCCTAAGCACACACAGATGTTTCCCAGATGAAGGTAAAAGGGGAGCGAGAGGCAACGGAAAGGCAACCATATTCCATTTGCAGGGCTCTGACCCTCCATGAATTATATTTATTTGTGTGCTCCCTATTCCTGAAATACTGCAGATGCTTTGCATTCCTGAGCAATGTGTTCTTAGGCAAAGGAAGTGCATTGTAATAATCATAATAAATGTTGTTTGTCCGGCACCCACAGGCCGTGGCAGTCTTGGCTCCTTAGCAAACAACAACACGGTTACCCACCGAGCCGTAGAATGCGAAAAAGATAGTGGAAATCAAGCTCAGCACATTTCGCTGCGTGGACAAGGGCTTAGGAGGCCAAGTTCTTGGGGCTATTTCACAGCAAAACTGGAGACTTGAGGCAGCCAAAGAAGTTTCCTTTCATGCAAAGAATTTCCTTCTTCTAGGAAGAACTGAGAGGTGGCATGGTAGACATCTTCAACTACGGTACATACCCTTCAACATTTCTCCAACAAAAATAGGGATGTCCTATTTCATAACATCAACAATAATAACTTTATTATTGATACTGTGCCCATCTGAGTGGGTGGCATCTACATTTCACTTGTTCTGCGCCTAGAAAACAAGGGTCCGAGTGGTTTTCTGCTTGCCCCGCTTCTTTTCCCAGGAAAAACCAGCTCTTTACTGCTGAACTGGAATAAGCATCAATCCACGGAAAATCCAATTGAGATTTGTTCCAATTTAGCAGTAAAGAGCAGGTTTTCCCAGGGGAAAGTGGCAAGACAAGCAGATGTGTGGTTTTAGCTAACTGTTGATGTTCAGGAACCCTAAAGTAGAATCCTGGATCTGTCCACCTTTTAAACCTGGAGTGCTTAAAGTTACTCCTATTTGTTCCTCTCCTAAATTACTATATTGGGGTTTGCATCTGCAGAAGTCTAGGACCTGCAATCTCAGGCTATTTATGCTTGTCTTTCTGGTAGTAAACCTGTGAAAAGAGAGGTCAGGCTGAGGTGAAATGCGAAGAAATTTCAGCAGGTTTACAAGAAAACTGTGGTTCAGCGGCTTCACCCGTATTCAGGATGTTCCTATTTACCTGAGGTCAGAGAGATGCTTCTGTCTCGCAGCTTTGCTTAGACATTTCAACCTGCTAATGTGGCCATAAAGTTCTGGCTGCAGATTGCTTAACAGGAAACAGCAACCATCGCTGGATAAATCCTTGATCTTTCAAAAAGCAAACATTTTATTAAACTGATCTTAATGATTAATATGTCCTTTCTCGTTAGGGCTTTGAAACGTTCCTTCCAGTCTACTTGACCTCTTCAGCATGAAGCTGAGAGAGCCTTTGACTGGCAACTCGGCGTCTGGGAAGGGTGAACGAAGGCAGGCGGCCTGCTCTTTTCCCTCCCATAGGTATCTTTTTCAAAGTTTCCCATCTCCTGCGGGTCTTGGAGCTCAACTGACAAAGGAATTGCGAGGTGAACGGGTGACGAGAGAAGGAGGAGCAGGCTGAACAGCAAGACTTTCAGAAATGATCAGGATTCCTTCCTCCGCTGTCACAATTTGGGGTTTCGCGAGCTCCCGCTCGTGAAATGTCACTTCTTCCTTCTGGGGTCACGTGGCTCCCTCAAAGGTCAGGCCTGCTTCGGCCAAAAGACAGGATCAAATAATGTGGCAAAAGCTGAACTCGGTGGTATTTTCCTTAAAAGCAGAAAAGGAAGCCCACTAAATTGTTTTCAATCACAGTCTTCGCCCAGTCCTAAGACTTTGTTATGGATGGTCAAGTCAAAAGTAAGCTGAGACAGCCTGCATTCTGTCACAATGAGGTTGATATCAATAGGGTAGTTGCTTGAATTTTGCCCCAGTGTGGACAGTAGATTAGAAACATAGGATTGTAGAATTGGAAGGGACCCCGAGGGTCATCTAGTCCAACCCCCTGCAATGCAGGAATCACAGGTAAAGCCTTTCTGGTAGGTGGCCATGCAACCTCTGCTTAAAAACCTCCAAGGAAGGACAGTCCACTACCTTCCAAATGCATTTTATTTTATTTATTTTATTGCATTTACAGTGGTACCTCAGGTTACATACGCTTCAGGTTACATACACTTCAGGTTACAGACTCCGCTAACCCAGAAATAGTGCTTCAGGTTAAGAACTTTGCTTCAGGATGAGAACAGAAATTGTGCTCCGGCGGCACGGCGGCAACAGGAGGCTCCATTAGCTAAAGTGGTGCTTCAGGTTAAGAACAGCTTCAGGTTAAGAATGGACCTCTGGAACGAATTAAGTTCTTAACCCGAGGTACCACTGTACATTCCACCTCTCCCTCTCCTCACATAATTCCCATAACAACACTGTGAGGTAGGTTGGGCTGAGAGTGAGTGATTGGCCCAAGGTCACATAGCGAGTTTCATGGCTGAGTAAAGTTTCGAACCCTGGTCTCTCTCATGTCCAGGCATGTCACTCTAACCACAATGCCACACTGACTCGCCCACTAGTCCGTTCCACTGTCAAACAGCTCTTGTTGTCCGGAAGTTCTTCCTAATGATGAGTTGCAATCTCCTTTCTCGTTGCTTGAATCCATTGATTCATCCCTTGGAGCAGGAGAACACAAGCTTGCTTCATTTTCCCTTCAGATACTTAAAGATGGCTCTCATATCTCTTCTCAGTCTCCTCTTTTGCAGGCTAAACGTACCCAGCTCCTTCAACCGCATCTCATAAGGCTTAGTTTCCAGACCTTCAACCATCTTGGTTGCCCTCCTCTGCACACCTTTCAGCTTGTCCCTATCCTTCTTAAATTGTGGTGTCCAGAACTGGACAAAGGACTCCAGGGGTGGTCTGAGCAAGGCAGAAGAGAGCAGTACAATGACTTCCCTTGACCTGGACATTAGACTTCTGTGGATGCAGCCTAGAAGAGCATTAGCTCTTTCCCACTATGTCCTCCTCACTCAATCCTGCAGGAAGTGGCTTCCAAACCAGGTTGTTTCTTGCATCACCAGGCTTTCAGACAGAAGCACCCCATGCAGTGTGGAGCACTCAAGGCCTTTCTATACAGCCACCTTTCCCTCTCCAGCAATATTCTGCACCCTCCTGTGACTCCCCTTTGAAGGAAGGTTGCAGCGCCTGAGACTTTTTAGTTCAGAGAAAATGCGAGTCAGAAGCAACCTGGTGGAAGTTTAAAGTGTGATGCATGGCATGGAGACAGTGGGTGGAGATAAGTTTCCCTTCCCCTCTGCCATAACACTAGAACCCACGAGCATCCCATAGAGTTGAATGCTGGAAAATTCAGGGCAGATTTTTTAAAATAAGTCTTTCTTCGTGGCTTGGTTGTGTGGTGAAATATACTCGGAGTCGAGAGTGGATTTCAGGCTCTTTATTCAGCTCATATTGGTGAGGAAGAATGGAAGTTCCCCCAGAATGTCTGCTTTATATACATTATTTACAGAATGGGCCCCACGTGATTGGCTAATTCCGGGATTCCCCTGTAGGCCAATCAGGTTGCGGATTCACTTCCACCTGGAGCTGGATTGGGTGGCTCCTGTGGACCAATCAGACTGCTGCATTCTGAATCCGATTGTTCTAGGACCAATCAGACTGCTGCATTTTGGATCCTATTCAACTCAGTACATAACATGTGGGTTCCATTTTGCCAGCTCTGCTAGACAGTCTTTGCAACTGCTGTTCCACTGTACTGTCCATTTCCACCCCTTTCCAGCCTCCGCAGCTAAGCACCCCAGGAAGCTGGCTGCGACGGCGAATTATGAACTATGAGCTGGCTTTGCTGTCATCAATCCCTCTCTCCTGAGCAAAGGCCTGGTGAATCGCCCAGCCTCCTTGGGCTTGATTAATATGGGCACCTCCTCAGCCAGTGCCCAGCTGCCCTCGAAAGCACATTGCTGTCATCACCTCCGCTGTAATGAGCGCATGTTCAGTCCCTGCCACACGGATGACTGAAGTGGGAGTCCAGCTGACTCCCATGTGGATGGGGGCATGTTGCGTGGCAAGTTCCCGACCCCCCTCCCCAGGTAGAAATAAGGACACATGACACAATTATTAAGGTTAATGGGCAGGAAAAGGCCACAACTTTATTGGTTACAGGTGATGAACGGTATTGGCTTAGTCATGGGTCCTAACTGACTATATCCGACTCCAGCCTGTCCTCTAGAAGCCCGGGAAGGGTTAACCACCAGTAGGAGGAGTCCTGCTGATGCACATCAACTAGGAACTCCCCCGGGGTCACCGACTGGGGGTGTACCTTAGGCCCTCACCTCCCTAGGCTTCGGACAGGGCCACACCTCCTAGAATCCTTTAACAGACTATCCTTCAATATGTGGGGCAGGTGATGGCGCTTCCTCCCCTCTTCCATCTACAGAACAATACCAATACCAATGCCTAACTGCCAACACCAAGAAAGTTGTGACGATTTGCTACGAGGTAGGCAAAAACCAAGTGTCTGGTGCCAATCTGCCAAGTGGAAAAATTCCTACCAGGCCCCTCGATGGCGACCAACTGAGGTCCATAGCAAGGTCAAAGAACGGAAACCTTATAGGACGGGAGGGTGGGAAAAGCAGGAACAGCTGGCAGGCAGGGAAAGAGGGAGATCCCTGGCCGTGCCTGCATTTAAATAAGGCAGGCCACACCCCCAGAGCCAACCAATTGGCTGGCCAGGGGGTGACGCGGCCGGGAATCCCCCCAGCCATCGCGTGTGTGGTGGGGCCGTGAAGCCCGCAACCCCACCTCCTCTGAAGGGCAGAAGTGGCTTTGTGCTACATGACCCTTGAGGTCTCTTCCAACTCAACAGTTTCGTGATTCTATTATTCCTTCTGCATTTAATTTAAAATAAATCTAGGTATAGTTCAGACATGTGCCTAGAAAGCACAGGGCAAATGAAGTGTGGATGAGCCCTTGGCTGCTCATAGAATCATAGAATCACAGAACTGTAGACCTGGAAGGGACCCCCCAAGGCTCATCCTGTCTAACCCCCAGCAATGCAGAAATGTGCACCTTATCAACGGTGCTTGCCTCTAGACCACCAGACCTCTCCTGGTTCCCCTGACCCAGAACACCGCCTTTGGGCTCCTGCCTTATTGCTAAAGGTTTGAAAGTTTGCCAGTCCTGACACTCCTCCCAAACTTGGGCTCCTTGTTGTTGTTCTGCTGGGAACCTTAAAGCCCTGCGCATTGGAGCGAAGAACAACAAGGAAATTCAGAAAAATGGGAAAGTCAGCGGCTACTGTAGTGACAGGATCTCCAGGCCCCTCTAGCTGGCAGGATTGTTTTACGGCTTGGCACATGACGGATCGGATTCCCCAACCATATTTTTCAATGCTCTCTGCCTGGCTGTGCGCAAGAGCCCCCGGGAGAGATAACTTCCGTTTGAGTGATGGGGCCCTGTGTTAATAGCAATTAGTCTCCCTGCTGACACTTCCCAAAGCCACCTCGCTTGTAATACGCGGTTTCTCTCGGTTTCTCTCGATGACTCAGTAGCTGTGTAAATAATGCCTCTCTCGCAAGGCCCCCTCTCACCCGCCAGCCGCATAAATCTGCCCAGCAGCATGGAAGCAGCGCAGGAGATATATGGGATGGGCTGGAGAGCGTAAACTATTGATCTGCATTACCTGCTGTATTTTAACGGAGATTCACAGCCAACGGCTGCTTAAGGAAGAGCAGGTGTTGCGCTGTGCTGAGCTGCCTTGAGCCAGGTTTTATGATCAGGGGGGTGGCAAAGGGTGGGGTGGCTCTTCGCAGTGCTAAATCTCTTTACGGGGAGGGAGGAGGGAGAA